CGTGCTGGAAGCACAAAGCTTGCGGCAGCAGAGCTGGAAAAAAACAGACAGACCTCTTCGGTAAATGTTTGGAGCCTTCGAGTATAATCCTGAGAATGCCAATACAGGTTTTTAATGAAAACATCTCTTGCCAAAGATGCTTTGGGAGGAGGCTTAGGGAGGAAGGGAAAAAGCGGTACACAAAGGAGTTCATACAGACTTATCCGGGAAGGCAGAAGTCACCAGTACCTGATTAGAAAACACTTAGTGCATGTTACTTTAATCAGCTTTATGAACATGTGCACCTCTTCATTAGTATACTGCCAGAAAGGCCGTGTTTTAGAACGATGCTGGAGGAAGGACTTGAAGTGTTGTTATGAAAAGCAGCGATCTCCTTCGAATTGCGTTACAGACTCAGGAAGCTCCAAATACTCACGCAACGTACCAGGGATCCTTTATCATTACTGGTTTAAATCCTCTCCAGGTCCCTTTTTGCCCTAAAACATCCCCAAAGGTACAGCAGTGTCTTATTTCGTGCGGTGAGGTTTGGGTGCTGTGAAAGACAAGTGATGCGGCACTCCCAGTTTAAGCGTTTCCCCACGCAGAGCATCCCAGGGGGATCGCTTCCTCCCTCGGGCATCCCTGGCATCTCTCCTCAGCCTATGGCATTTTTGCAGGCTTAAGTTTGGTCTGATTCCCTGTGACAAGTACTATACGAAGCTGAAGGATGCCATAACCCAGGCTGGTGCCAATAGAGAGGAGGCTGCCCTCTTTTGAAGCCCGATCTTTTAGATAAGCAGAGGTGAACTGGAAGGAATTACACTAAAATTCATTAAAACCTAACTCAACATATTTTTGCCTTTATTTTCAGTATCAGCGGCGCCCTTTAGTTCAGCCACTGCCCTAAAGAAGTAGTTTATATGTCTTTAATGATACCGATTAAAATGTGTGTCCCTTAATAACCAACCGTTGGTCAGCCCTGAAGTGGTTAGGCATTTGGAAGAGATGATCCAATAGATGATAGGATGAGGGGGAATGGCTTCAAACTGGAAGAAGGTGAATTTCGATTAGATATTAGGAAGAAACTTTTCCCTCTGAGGGTGGTGAGTCACTGGCCCAGGTTGCCCCGAGAAGCTGTGGCTGCCCCATCCCTGGAGGTGTCCAAGGCCAGGTTGGACGGGGCTCTGAGCAACCTGGGCTGGTGGGAGGTGTCCCTGCCCATGGCTGGGGCATTGGGACTGGGTGATCTTCAAGGTCCCTTCCAACATGAACCATTCCATGATTCTATGATTCCATGATCATTGTCAGTCCCTTCCAACTGAAATAATCTCTCCTCCTCTTCTCTTCTCTTCTCTTCTCTTCTCTTCTCTTCTCTTCTCTTCTCTTCTCTTCTCTTCTCTTCTCTTCTCTCTTCTCTCTTCTC